CCATTCTGTTGCGTGGCCAGGGACAGGCTTGTGTGAGAGGTTGGACTTGGCTGGTGTCAGGGTACTGTTTCGAGCTGGCCTACAGCTGCATTTTAAGCGTCTGCCGTACCCATCGTTGCGTGAACAAGGCCTTTTTTTGTGTTTTGACTAGCATAGTGTGCAGCCTCTGAAACGGAAATAGATTAATAATTCTCCGCTTCCTTTTTTTTTAATGAAGGATGACAAAGTGGTATTAAAGTGAGTCCTACTTTCTCTTTGCAGAATAACTCTATATCCCCTTCTGAAAGTTTGCGCACCAGCAGTGAGAAGCATCGCAGCTCCTCTGATTACAGTCTCGACCCTAAGAAACGCAAAGTTGAGGAGAAGGACAGCATGAGCAGATATGTAAGTCAAACATTGCAACATGTTGGGAAATATTGTTAGCTCGCCATTCGCAAAGCAATAGATAAAACTGAGGAGTTTGAAACATTTGGATCGAGGCACACTGATTTCCTGGAGTTGGTGCTGGTTGCCTGGCAACCACACAGTGAAAACAAGACTCCAAGAAGTCAGTGATCCAGGGTCATCCAACTCTCTGGACAGAGATTAATACAATTTTATTTATCTTTAAAAAAAACGTTTTAACCCATTTTTAAGATGCGATGACCAATCCGGTCGTATGGTGAAACCTGTACTTTAAGCCCATCTGCTCGGTCCACTGATTTTCTAATTATCTTTACAGGACAGCGATGGAGAGAAAAGCGATGACTTGGTGGTAGATGTATCTAATGAGGTAAGCACTATAGCGTGTAATGGACCTTAACTGAAATGTGGTTGTTGCGTGCATATAAAAATCATTCGCCCTGTTTAATCAGGATCCCGCCACTCCTCGGGCGAGCCCAGCCCACTCGCCACCTGAAAATGGCATCGATAAACCACGCCCTCCTAAGAAGGACACGCCCAATAGCCCTGCTTCTGTGGCATCCTCCGGAAGCACCCCATCCTCCAAGGCCAAGGAACTCAGTCATGTAAGACATGGAGGGAGCTGCAGGCAAACTACGACAGAAGGGATTTGAAATTAGAATTGCAGAGAGCAAAGGGATATGCAAATAGATCTAGGACATTTTCTACTGTGGATTAGGAATAGCTGTCTGTGTTTTAAGTGCGGGACTAAATGTCAGGGATAATATTGTCCCACATCAGGATCAGTCAGGTCTTCTCTGTTAATAGCTCAATGTATTCAACTATTCCAGGATTTTTGCCTCTGCCTTTCAAAGAGATTAAAGCTAAAGCAGTAAGGGGATAAAAATGGGCCCATCTCCATTGTGACCATAATAGGTTTTAGAATAAATAGCAGTTTATGGTTCTGCAGGACTATGAGGGTTGTCAGAATTAGATTGGATTAAGTTCGGTTTGCTCTCAAATTGTCAGTCTGCACAGTGCCTGGTTCTAGGATTGTGAATGTGCCTGCTCCGTTGTTCCCTCGACAGAATGACAAATCCTCCACGCCTGGTCTCAAATCCAACACTCCCACCCCCCGTAACGATGCCCCTACCCCTGGCACCAGCTCCACTCCTGGGCTCAGACCCATTCTGGGCAAACCACCAGGAATGGAAGCTCTTGGTTAGTGCCAGTCCTCTTTCCTTTGTAAAAATGAAGAAAAAATCAACCATTTGCTATTCTCCACTGATGCATTGTTATGTCAAATACTGATATCCATCTCCCGTCTCTGCCTGTAGCAGCTCCGGCTTTGCGCACCCCTCTGTCCATTGCGGGCTCCTATCCAACCCCTTTTGCCATGATGGGCCACCATGAAATGAATGGAGGCCTGACGAGTCCTGGGGTGTATGCTGGACTGCACATTTCCCCTCAGATGAGTGCTGCAGCAGCTGCCGCCTACGGACGCTCCCCCATGGTAACCACTTCTGCTGCCCTTTTTGCATCGCTGTTTCGGGATAGCTGGCTGCGACCGCGGGTCGATAACAAATGAGTTGTTCAAAAAACATCTGCTTCTTGTCTTTTAGGGGTTTGATCCTCACACGCACATGAGGGCCCCAGGCCTTCCCGCCAGCCTCACATCCATTTCTGGAGGCAAACCGTACGTGTTTCGCAAAAGGCACTGCCCTCGTACATTTTCAAAATCAGCAGTGTTAACAAGTGCTTGTCCATTTTCCCGCAGAGCGTACTCCTTCCACGTCAGCGCAGATGGCCAGATGCAGCCGGTGCCCTTCCCGCCCGATGCCCTTATTGGCCCTGGCATCCCCCGCCACGCTCGTCAGATCAACACACTGAGCCACGGCGAGGTGGTGTGTGCTGTTACCATTAGCAACCCTACACGTCATGTCTATACTGGAGGCAAAGGCTGTGTCAAAATATGGGATATCAGCCAACCTGGCAGCAAGAGCCCCGTCTCCCAACTGGACTGTTTGGTGAGACCCTGCTGATTTTTGTTTCACTCAGTTAGTTCTCTTTAGTACAGTTTTTAGTGTCATTAACAATGGAATAATCCTTTGTTGCGAATTCCAACTCTCCGGAAAGGTACCGCAACCCTCTTGACACTGAGCTGAATTACAGAGGATGCTTTTACATGTTTGTGCTGAACACATGGCAACAGCAATGGGGAAAGAATTGATAAATGTTAAACGGCACGTTATGATACTTTATAGTGGGGTGGATCATAAATGATCATAAAATGTGTACATTTAACAAGCTATAAACCTATTCACTCATTTCAGATTAGGTTTTGGTATGACATTTTAGGATTGAATTAGGAGATTTTCATCCTATTTTTATCCTAAATCTATCCTTTCCTAGTTTCGTTCGTACATTTAACAAGCTATAAACCTGTTTAACAAGCTATAAACCTGTTCACTCTTTTCAGATTAGGTTTTGGTATGACATTTTAGGATTGAATTAGATTAGATTAGATTTTCATCCTATTTTTATCCTAAATCTATCCTTTCCTAGTTTTGTTCCTAAATCATTCTCTCTCACTCTCAAAGGCCTTGACAATTGCATTGATTGGCTTTTTCCACTGTGCTACAGAATAGGGATAACTACATCCGCTCCTGTAAACTGCTGCCTGATGGTCGCACATTGATTGTTGGAGGCGAGGCCAGCACATTGACCATCTGGGATCTGGCCTCTCAGACGCCCCGCATCAAGGCTGAGCTCACTTCATCAGCCCCAGCGTGCTACGCTTTGGCCATCAGCCCTGACGCCAAAGTCTGCTTCTCCTGCTGCAGTGATGGAAACATTGCCGTTTGGGACCTGCACAACCAGACTCTTGTTAGGTCAGAGAAAGAAAAAAACAACAAAAAAAAAAGCATTCCCAGTGTCTGGGCTTTGGCCCCACGGCACAGTTGCTCTGGTGTGAGTTGTTGTGAAAGCAGATGTCAGTAAATATTTGTGTCCCGCCGTACTTTGATTGCAGGCAATTTCAGGGTCATACGGATGGCGCTAGCTGTATTGACATTTCCCATGATGGCACTAAGCTGTGGACAGGCGGTCTCGATAACACTGTTCGCTCCTGGGACCTGAGGGAGGGGCGCCAGCTGCAGCAGCATGACTTCACTTCACAGGTACAACCCCGTGGCGGTGTGCACTTACGCTAGGACCTCCTCAGGTGAAATTGTGAAATTCTTTTAGCTTTGGAGCTGTTGTTAATCACTGTTCTGTCCCGTTTTCAGATCTTCTCCTTAGGCTATTGTCCTACTGGAGAGTGGCTCGCAGTGGGTATGGAGAGCAGCAACGTGGAAGTGCTCCATCATTCAAAGCCTGACAAGTACCAGCTCCACCTGCATGAGAGTTGTGTCCTCTCCCTGAAGTTTGCCTACTGCGGTATGAATAAATCAGACACAGAACTGTTTACTTAACTGCTAAGGGATCTTGGATAGTCATAGTTGACTTAGTGCAAACACTGCAGTAGATACAGTGTAGATGGCTTTTGTGTCCTCAGAGTTACATATGTAATAACTCCCAGTTTGTGGGTCGTTTTCCTCCCGCTCCTTAATCCAAGGTGGATATATGTCACTCACTTTCCTTTTTTTTTTGTTGCAGGAAAATGGTTTGTAAGCACTGGGAAGGACAACCTGTTGAACGCTTGGAGGACTCCTTACGGCGCCAGCATTTTCCAGGTATGCAGATCAATACATGCTGTCTGCAGCCTGGCAAAAAGTATGCGCGCTAGTGTCTGGGAGGAAGGGCACACCGACCGCTGTCTGACAGGACTATCCTATCAGTGAAAACTGAACCTGAGTTATTGACCCGACAAAGTAGGCTTTTTGAGGCCTGCCGAGACAAAACTTGATGTCACTGCAATCTAATCTATCCCTGTAGTCAGCTAATCATTCCCACTTAGCTTTAAATGTACTTGAGTGTATTAACTGCCACCGAGAGTAAAGTGTTTTTTTTTAATCTTTTCTCTAAACAGTCCAAGGAATCCTCATCTGTCCTGAGCTGTGACATCTCGACGGACGACAAGTACATCGTGACAGGCTCTGGCGACAAGAAGGCCACTGTATATGAAGTGATCTATTAGAACAGACTGCATTGGATCGGAGCATGTTCATGCTCAGGAACAGTAGACTCTTCCCCCATCTATCTTCCCTCACACAGACAGCATGGATGTTGCCTGCGGCCCCAGGGCGGATTGGCAGGAAGTTTGGCAGTGCCAGATTGAGATGGATGGCGGCCCATCTTTGGCCTGGGATTCTGTGTCATTCTGCTCTGCCCTCCCTCACTCATATAACACTTGTACAGCGGGTGCAGTTTCCCAAGGCACTAAGAAGAAAATAATGTCTTGCTGTTTTTCTGTTTGTTGGATATCAATTTCTTTTTTTTTCTTTTTTTAAAATTCATCTATTTCAATGTGGAGACAAAGTTCCATGACACAGCTAGAAGCAGTGCTTCACCCTGGAGCTTCTCCTTGGAGGTCCTGTGAAAAGTGTACATAATGGAGTAATAAATGGCCTTTTATAGATTTATATTTTGGTGTCCAGTTACGCTTGTGATGGTTCTCTCTTGTTCTCTCCGTGATTTTCTGTCCCTTCTGGGGATGGAAATTAGATTAGGACTTTGTAAGAGGATATTCTATTTCATTTTTTTCCCCCTGGCTTTTTTTTTTTTTTTTCCATGTTCGATGTCCAGAATGACCTTTTCGGAAATCTAATTTGGATTTTTTTTTTTCTGACAACAGCCTTTTTTCTTTGCTATTTGCTATAACACGGACATTTGTCCCATGGATTTTAGCAGTAGAGACCTCTGGTAATTTTCTCTTTTTGTTTTTTTACTGGAAAAAGGGGAAATCTTTGTTTTTACTCGCATCGACTCGTTGGCCTCGATCGGCTGATAATCAACTCTAAAATGAAGATTGTCACTAAACACGGGCTGCTTTCTATCACAAAAAATGGATAACCAACAACTGGATGATTTGACAGAAAATCTGCTGTGACTTGAGCGCTGTCTGTTGACACAATTCCTGTATGAAAAGTCATTGCTCCACCAAGCAAAGCCATCAGTCCATACAGTTAATTATTGCCTTTCTTAATTTAATGGCGTGTGACTGATGTGTCGGACTAACTTCATTACATATAAAAGTGACAGGCAAAGCCATGTTCACATCTGATATTTTGGATATACTTCTCATTCAGGACTGGTCTCTGCATAAACACAAGTTAAACTGTGTAGGAAACACTTGTCATCACCCATAAGGACTGTACAGTTGACAGTTGTTGATAAATCAATAAACTGTTTTTATATAAAAAAAGAATACCCTAGACTGGATTTTTGAAGCACTGATTGCCTTACTGCCACCATAGATTTTTATGAAACACACAGCCTGGCCCCCAAAACAAAAAGTCCACACCAAAAACAATGTCCCACACTAATGACTTGTTTGACCACCATTAGCCTCGATTACGTTTTGCATTCACTGTGGCTTTGTTTCAATAAGCCTCTCCAATCTTACAGGATTCTTTTCCATCTGGTGTCGCATTAGTTTTTCACCAAAATCGTGATGATGTATTGATGATAAGAGAGTCCAACCACTGTTCAAAGCCTTCTCCACCACGTCTCAAAGGTTTTTATTGGGGTTGAGGTTGGGCTGTGTGATGGCCAGTCCGTGTGTGAAAAGGAAGTCTCATGCTCCATGAACCACTCTTTCAGTGTGAGCTTGATTAATCCTGGCATTGTCTTCTTGGAATATGCTCGCGCCACCAGGAAAGAAAAAAATCAATTCGTGGAATAACCTGGTTTTCTTATAGCTACACAGCTGTTCGGACCCAATCCCTCGAGTTTCCTCACATTGTGTGTGTGGAAATGCTCTTACTTTCACTGTTAAACACCGTCCTGAGTTCTAAAGTTGTTCCGTTTGATGTCACCAAACGTTTAAGTGATCGCCAGTTACAATCATTTAGGATTTTTTTTCCCCAGACCACATTTCTTCCTTGAAGATGAAAGTTCCCCACTTTCCTTCCAGTTGTTAATCATGTGTAGTACAGTTCTTAACCCAATTTTCCTGGTTTCTGCAATCTTCTGAGATGTTTTCTCTGCTGCTACCAATCATTTGTCCCACCCAATCCAGACATTTCCGTGACCACGGGATGTGTCATTCGACATGCTTGTTTAACAGATGAGAAGCCACTCATTTCATCAGCTGGGGTTAAATAACTTGTTGCCAGCTGAGAGCTAATCCCCCTTACAGTAATCATCCAATAAAGGTCTCAAACCTATTTGCTTAGTTCAAGCCAGGTGATGAGTTTTTTTTGTCAAGTAAAATAGTTGAAGATTTAATTTATTGGCTTGAGCTTGATAGGATGACTCACGTGTGAATTAAAATATAAATTTATCACCAGATTCTGTCTGAGCAGCAAACATCTATTTATAGGCTACTCAATGTATCTACTCTTCAATGTGGTTGTATTTGACTTGAAGATAATTGCATGGCCTTTTTATTTCTTCAAAAATTAAGATTTCCTCATTTTTCTCTGCATCACTGAAGAAACAATTCAACATGCGGTACAGCCCAAAACCCAACATCGCTTATATTCTTTGGTGTTTGGCTTCTGTATACAGAGGATGTTATGTGTTAAATGGTAAGCTGGCAGACAGGAAAGAGGAAGGCTAAGTGTCCCCCCTCTTGTTGACAGTGAATGCAAGGACATCAGCAAACGGCTGTGAATGTATTGAGATAAGGGCGGACAACTGTCTCAGCCATGAGCAGGAGACACTCTGGTCCTGTTGCCAAAGCTTTAACTGAGAAATTACTACGCTTGCATTAATATTTGACTGATGTCTGTCTCAGCTACAGACTGATTTTGTATGGTGGCACTATGTAATCACATAACTGTCTTAATTTGACACAATAAGGGAGAAGTTTTATTCAGAGCCACTTTGGAGGAATGACGTAAACACCGCTCTTTAGTTCTGTCGAGTAGTCTTTTGCTGGCTGAATACTTTTAGGTAGGGACGAGGTGAATGGCCCAACCCATCCACTCCAGAGTAACGCTCTTCGAGGACTCTGCTTGAAGCTGTAAGCCCTTCATAAGACGGCCTCTCCAGAGATGTTGTTGTTGGATTATAAAAGCAGGGCCGGATGCTTTCAGCATGGAGCCAGCCGCCATGCTCCGCTCTCATGGGCTCATTTGTTAAAGGCTATAGTCTTTCTTTTCCCACATTGGTGAAGTGTGTACTTCCTGTGTGTATTTGTAGTTTAATCTCCCTGCTCAAGTACAATTTTCTACATCACTTAATCAAACAGTATATATCTGCAGATGAAAGGTTGCACCACTGAGTGCCTATCGTTGGACATTGAGGGGGTCAATGTCTCGCCTTTCACTCATCTGTGCCTCAGCAGAAGGCTTTCAACAGGTTCACATGCAAAAGCCCATGCTGCTCTCGACTATTTAGAGAGGGACTCTGCACACTGAAATGAAGAGGCCTGAGTGTTTCACAGGAGCTCAAAACACAAAAACAGAATTCAGTTCCCTGTTCGGCATGGATGTTTTCAAAGGCTTAAAGAGGATACAGAGAAACAAGGTGCTATCTGTATATCAGTATGCTATGTTTTTCTTTAAAATCTTTACTTCCAGCTCTCAGGAACGATCACCTGAATTTTGGTTAGTTAGTTCAGTTGAAATTTGGGTTTCTAACATCCTCAATCCATCAAACAGGAAGTCTGTGGTGATCCTTTTTTTTGTTCAACAGCAAGGGACCGGCACCGTGCTGAAATGCAGAATAATAATCCTCTAATCACCTGAGTATTGCCAGTCCAAGGTTTTATCTGCAATGGATGTGAAAGCCCCCAGTGCCTGGTGATTACAGCATTTGATCTGGGTAATAATGTCTTCACTGTTGCCCTGCCTTGGGCCCGAAGGCAGCACAGCTCTAATCCACAGTGCATTCTAGTGGAATCGCATTACACAAAGACCACCAGGGTTCTCTTCTGAGGGGGAGGGGTGGGGGGGAGTGGGGTTAAAGGAGGAGGTTGCCATGGAAACAAGCTTTCCCTCTTAACACTCACTCTCTCGCTCTGTCTCTCACAAGTAGAAACAAAATGCACACACACACACACACACACACGCACACACTCTCTCCTGGGACAGATAAGCGAAGGACAGGTTCTATGTTTACTTTGCGCAGACCCTCCAATCCCTGTGCAGGCTGAGCCCCGATAACACGAGGCCTGTACAGTCGCCGGCCACCGACAGCCGATAAGAACTCCAGCGGAGCAGAGCAGTCATCACCCTCCAACCAGGATGAACAAACCTGGGAGACCCGGATTCATTTGGATTAGGCGGGATTGCCTCTGCTGCCGCCGCTGCTCTGTTCAGACTGTTGATGCTCACGGAACGTTCTACATGAGAAACCCATGTTGCTCTTCACCCTGTGGAGAGTTTAGTTAAAGGACATGCTAGTGGACTGGATGCTATTTTAGATAAGGAGGTCAAGGGACTGTCAGCACTGGGCATGTTTGTGTCAGTGCAGTTAAAGGGCTGGGAACCTAGAAAACAGAAATTCCTCCTGATGTGTCCCGAGGAGACAAAATAATTATGGCTGGGTTATTTCACCCTAGTCGTGCCTGCTCTCATTGTAACGGCTTTTCATCAGTCAGAGGTGGGAGAGCAACCAGGGCATTCCTTTGTGTTAGTTCTAAGTATCACTAAGATTTAGAAATTCAATGCTGCAAGTGATTAGATTTTCATTAGACTAATGCCCTGAGAAGGGACCAACATGCTCTTTGATGTTAAGATCAAGACAACTACAAGTACTTCTTTATTATGTGCATTATGCTAAGATGCTAATTATTTTTCCACACACATTCTGTGATTAAAGCACAGCTTGAGGTGTATAAGCAACACGACTAATTACAGGGGAAATAGTGGTATTGAACTAAAGCAGCGGGAGCTGAATTTCCCTTTGGCACTTTTTCCTGCCTCTGTTTATTTCTGATCTCTCTTTTAAAACAATATTGATAATCAAATGCATAGAAACTGATTAAAGGACTTTCTTTGACAGGAAGGAGAGTAGCTGTCCACAAAT